GGGAAGGGGAAGGGAGGAAATGGCCCAGGCTGGCCCTCCCCAGACCCACCTGCCCTGGCAGAGTTTTCGGGCAGGCAGGGCAGCCTCTGCCCAGGGCAGAGACAGAAGGGGACAGGAGGCCCTGAGTGTGTGGGGGTATGGAGGCGGGACAGACCTCTGAAGCTGCAGTCAATCCTGAGGCTCGTGCCCTCACACCTGTGAGCTCAAACAAACTCCAGAATTAAGCATTGTCACCAGTGACTTGCCCACCTTCCCGCTCTGGGAGGGCAGAACGGGACTCAACCCCAGGCCTCTTTAGCTCTAAACTGTGACATTTGCACCGCTGTTGCCCCAGGGAATGGGGAAGCTGCCGATGTGGAGCTCAGAGGCTGCTGAGCTGAGAGCTGCTTCCATTTCCACTTCTCCTTCTGCAAGAAACTCGGCTGTGTCAAGTCTGGTGCTGGGCGCCGGGGTACATCTGTGAGCAGGCCAGGCGTTCTAGGACCAGAGAGAAGAGAACAACACTAATGTGGACATGATCACCTCAGCCCTTGGTAGTGATCTGAAAAGCTGCGGAAGGCCTGCATTCCTCTGCAGTCTGAGCTCGCGTGAGCATTTTAGAACCAAGCCATCTCAGGACTGAGCCCTGGGATTGCAGGAGCGTCGATGTTCTCAGAGTCAGGACATCAGTGCGAATCCAAATTGGCAGGTCCGCTGGATGACCAGAGGGGGCAGATATCCAGATTATTTGACAAGGTTCCGCTGCATGGAGCTCACAGGACAGTGGGAGGCACCTCATCATGAGGCCATCATGGAACAGAATGCTGGATAAAGAAACGGAGAAGCCAGGTGGAAGGAAAGGCTCAGGTGGGGCATCACAGCTAGTGTTGTAGGAAGAGTGCGATTTCTACCAGGGATGAAGTAGGGAATAGCATCTGGGCATTTGCAAAGGCCTTGTGGTGGCCATAGCCCTGCTGGAAGGTCAACAGGGTACATGAGGCTTGGACATGAGCCAAAACCCTGAGAGGTCTGCTCTGAGTGCCAGGCTGAGGGTACACACAAGCAAGGGACACTTTGCTTGACCTGAGGAATATCCACCCTCATTCCCTGGCCTAGCAAATCATTCCAGATGTGTTTAATGTTGTCTGGTGAACTAGTAGGGCTGCCCTTGAAACCAGAGGATGTCTCGAGGCTGATCAGCTTGCCCTCCTCAGGCATGAGGGCTGTGTCTGGGCCCCAAGCAGCACCATTTGCCAGAGAGAGCTGTAATAATATTGTACTCTGGCGGAAGGGCCAGGGAGCTGCTGTGCATTCCCCTTTGGGGCACAAAACAGTGCTGGAAGCCTTCCTGCCAGACCAAGCTCATCCCCAGGATCCAAGACTGAGTGACCTTCACAAGTCCCTTACCTCTCTGTGCTCAGTTTCCCTGTGGTCTCAGAGTGTTCTCCAAGCATTCTCATTCTGACTGTCTCAAGAGAGGTAGAATTGTGAGCACATAGAAGGTGGCTGGAGAACTGTTAATAAATTTGATTATACTCTTGCCTAAAAAAAAAGAAAGAAAAAAAAAATAAAATTGATTAGCAATGGTGCCATTTCTCATCCCTGGCCCTCTGTGGGGTGTGAGGAGGGCAGACCGAGAGCGGCATGGGCGTTGCACTGTAGGCCAGTCTCTGGAAGCCAACACCTTGAAGATGGCATGTGGACATCCATAGATTTTGGCCCTTGTCAGGCATGAGATGGGTAAGTAGAAGGCAGAATTAGGATCTTGGTCCTTATTAATCCAGGAGGTCAAGTTTCATATCCCAGCTCTGGATCTATCCATTCATTTACCCATCCATCGCCATCCCATCTCTATCTCTCCATCTCTCATGCATCCTATCTCTCATCACCATCCCTCCATCCATCCATCTATCTCTCCATCCACCCATCTCTCCATTCATCCATCTGTCCATCCATCCATTCATCCATCTCTCTATTCATCCATATCTCCATCCATCTGTCCATTCATCCATCCATCCATCTGTGCATTCATCCATCTCTCCATCCATTCATTCATCCATCCATCCACCCATTCATCATCTCTCTATTCATCCATATCTCCATCCATCCATCTTTCCATTAATCCATCCATTTATCCACCCATCGATCCATCTCTCCATTCATCCATTTCACCATCCATCCATTCATCCATCCAATCCCTCCAATGACCAATTAATTGTTGGGTACAGGAACATTCTAGCTGTGTAATCAGCAGTGAATGCTGAAGGTGCATTAGAAAACATGGTACAAATGTTAGAAGGCTCTCACCCTGGCAGTGGGTCCATTCCATTTAGCACTTAAGGAATTCCCCTACTACCTCTATGTGTCCAGGAAGGCCACTTCCTCCCTGTGAGCCTCAGTGTCCTCACTTACACGATGGGGTTTAATGATCACCATCTGCAGTGTTGTTGTGAGTTTTGTGAGATGATGGGTGGAGGACAGCCAGGATGGCACAAGGTCTCTGCGTGGGAGCTATTATCAGTATTTGTCATGGTGTCATGCCTGAGCCTCCTGCTAATGACACAGGACCAGCTGTGGGGAGTAGAGGGAAGAGAGCAATGGTGTTGGACACAGCTGGCCACACCCTGGCTGTGTGACTGTGAACCAGCCCCTCAACTTCTCAGAATCCTCATTTGTCAATCAGCGGTAATAATTCCTAGCTTGCAGGGTCAGGGTGAAAATTAAAGGGGTAGTAGAGGCAATCTTGATGCGTGACATGGGAGGCACATGCTGAACTTTAGCTTCCTTCCTCCCCTTCTCTGAGACGGGTTAGAGGCTCCCAAGGGCTGTTAAGGGGACTTGACAGCGGGCCGGGGAGCCTTTTCATCAGTCCACACGTCATTGGGAAAGTCTCATACAGGGTGCGCAGGAATAATGATGGGCAAGACGGACGAGGTCCCTGCTCTCATGGAGCCCCTAGACTGGGGTGGTGGAGGGGTGAAGAATACCAAACACACAGAGCAGTTTGTGATCATTGTGGTAACAGGCCAGGAAGGGGCTGCTTGAGATGGGGAAGTCAGGGAACCGTTAGTCGGGCAGCCTCTTGAAAGAGGTGGCCTTTGAGTGGTGAGCTGAAGGGCAAGGAGCCAGCTGTTCGAAAGTTGGGAAGAGAGGGCATAACAAGTGCAAAGGCCCTGGGTTTGCAAAGACTTTGAAGGCCTGTGAAAGCAAAGGAGGCCATGCTCTCGGGCTTGCACATGTGATGGGAAGAGAGCCAGAGATTCGGTTGGGAAGTCAGGTAGAGGTCAGATCAGATCAGATAGGCCAGTTAGTTTATGTAGATGAAGAGGAAACCGAGGACTTGGAAGAGTTAAACCACCTGCCCAAAGTTAAGTTGGCGAGAGACGAAGCCTAGGTGGGTCTCCAGCGTCAAATCCTACTGGGAGGCGAGGGGCAAAGCCCTCAGGTGCTCTGAGGTCCCCCCGCACTGCCGAGGGGTGAGGACGGGGGGGGGGGTGGCCCAGAAGAGGGAACATTGTGTCTGCGGGAGAGTCAGAAGAGGCAGCAGCCTAAACACACGACAGACCCCGGCCAGCCCCGGCTGCCAGCACAACTGCTTGTGCAGCTGCCAAGGAGCCAGATGCCGCTTCTGGAAAAAATATCTTCCTGGCTTGGCACTCCCTGGCCGGCCTGCCTGCCATGCGAGGGGAGGAGGGGGCTGTCGAGTGCGGCCGCCGCTTAGCACCCCAGAACGGCGCTGCTGTGCCTTTGAAGCCAGGGCAGGGACAGGGAAGGAGGGGCAGGAGGATGCAAGCAAAATATTTTTGCTAAAAATATTCTGGTCCAGGAGAAATCTTTTTTTTTTTTTTTCCCTTACTCTTGCTGGAAACCAAAGTCTTATTAAAACAACACCAGAATATTTCAGTTGATATCAATTAGGCGAAGGAGAAGGAATCTTGAGTTTCCTCCTTGCCAGTTTCACATAAAAGGAATATTCTCCTAGAGGCCAAAGGATGAAGGTTTTTAGTTTTTTCCCTTTCTGCAAAAAATTCCTGCAATGTGGATGGAAAGTTCCTCATGTCTGAGAGCTTCCTGAGAAGTCGGGGCACTGGACCTCGAGGCCAAGTTCTCCCCCTAGGCCTGGTGGGGCCGGGCAGGTGGCTGGCCCTTCCAGAAGGCCTCTTGAGCTGTCAGGGAGGGACGCAGCCAGCCCCGCTCTGCACGAGGCCAGCCCGGCTGTGCACTCTACAGGGCCCGCAGCCAGCTGGACCGCTCGCCGGATGCCCAGGAGCTCGGCAGATACAGACAGAGCGCTTGGCCTGCTGCCTCTGGCGCCCTCATCAAAGCTCCTCGCAGCGTCCAGGCGAAGAGCTGCTCTGAGCTGCCGGCTTGGGGCCCTTCTCCTGGTGTAGGCCTCTCACAAAGCACGACGGCAGCACCGTTCTGCACACCTACTATACGCCAGCCACTTAAACACATGTTGGTGTGATGTCTCATTTGGTCCTCACAACCATCACAAGGAAGAAGGATTATATTGTCCCCAATTCCCCTGAGAACACTGGGGCTTAGTGTCACACAGCTAGCAAGCTACAGTGGCAGGATTTGAACACAGGTCCTTCTAACCCTAAAGTCTGCGCTCTGTCTTCTGTTGCAAGCTGCCTCTAAGATGATCCCTGAGCTCAGATCTCCCATTGAGCATGTGGTAAGTAGGGGAGGCTCTCTCTTCCTTGGTGTTATCTTGGTCCTCCAATGCTACTAAATCAGAGCTCCCGAAAACAAGCCCTTCCGAAATGTTTCTCTCTCTCTTTTCTCCTCTACTCAGCTTTCTGAATTTTGCTTAAACATTCATTCATTTCCTCCTTCATTGAAACTCACTCATCTACCCACCTATCCATCCACCCACCCACCCACCTTCCACCCAGCCATCCACCCATCCAGTATGCGTTTACTAACTGCCAAGCACCAGGGGTGTAGAAATGACTAGAACACAGCTCCTGCCCAAGTTCCGTTCAGATTCATGAAACACTGGAGGTGCAATGGAATCGTAGGAGGTGTCTAATCCCACCTGCCTCTGATGTAATCCAGGTGGGAGGAAGCATCTTTATTTTACAGGTGGGGGAACTGCAGTCCCGGGAAGACAGTGGACTTGCTGGGAAGTTGTGTTTTGTAGTTTAAAGACTGAGAGAATCTTGAAGCCAAAACAGACTTCTAGTCCTGGTGCTTTTCCTTCCTGGCTAGGTGATTTAGTGGCAGTCCCTGGAGCTCTGTGGTGAAGGGGACAGGACAGTTTTTCCTTCCTGGCTGGGTGATTTAGTGGCAGTCCCTGGAGCTCTGTGGTGAAGGGGACAGCAGTCAGTGGGGTAGGAGGGGGCTCAAAGCCATGCAGGGTTGTGTAGCCACTGTGAAGGACTCTGGCACCCACACTGAGGAAGACGGGTGCCACCACAGGTTTTTGAGCAGACAAGAGACATGATCTGACCTAAGTTTTAAAAGGCTCACTTTGGTCTCGTGTAGAGAATAGCCTGTTGAGGGGAAGGGGACAAGAAGGGGACAACCAGTTAGGAGCTATCGCAATAGTCCAGGCAAGAGGCGATGCTGGTTTGGGCCAGGGTGGTAGCGGTGGAGGTGGCAGGAACTGTCAGTATTCCAGGTGACGTGTGGGAGGAAGAGAGGCATCAAGGATGACGCCATTATTTTACGCCTGAACCACTGGAAAGACGGAGTTGCCATCACCTGAGGGGGAGGCAGTAGGTGGAGCAGGTTTGGGGGGAGATCAGGAGCTCATGTTTGGATGTGGTGAGTCTGAGATGTCCACTAGATACCTAAGTGGCGATGCCAAGTGGCAGTTAAATATGTATTCTTGGGTCAGGAGTGGTCTGGGCCGGAGGTAGCAATGTGGGAGTCAGCGGTCCTTGAGGTTGGACGCCATCACAAAGCGTGACATCTAGAAAGAGAAGAGAAGAGAACCAAGGACTGAGCCCCGGACTCGCCATCACTAAGAGATTTTCCTAATATAAAGTAAGCCCTCGGGGCACAGGCACAAAGAAAACGTGGCTGTCACCGTCACAGAGTGTGCATTTTATTTTATTTTTTGCACAGTGTGCATTTTAAAGAGGGCAACATACATTGAAAGAACCAGCAAGTTCTCCAGAACAATTATCTTTAGAAAAGGGTCAGCCCAAGGACTGTGGAAGTCCAGGGGTGGCACCTCACTGAGCCCCCTGGGACCGTAAAACTGGCCTGTTCCGGTTCCACCCTGACAGAGGCTGTCTGATCGGAGCTCCTGAGCAGCTTCTGAACCTATTCTGTTCCATAAACGGGAGAAGGGGGAAGTCCATGTTTGCAAACCCAGAGTTTGGACACTCATGTAATTCTCTCCATAGCCCTATCAGATCAATACGATTAGCATCCCCATTTTAGAGATGAGGAAACTGAGGCTGGAGAAGGGGAAGCCACTGGCCCCAGAACTGACTTTAAAGATCATGCTCTTAACACGAGGAGAAAGACAGGGTGCAGAGGGTTGCTGAGACAGGAACTCAGTCACGACATTAGGATTCGGGGCTCTCTCCTGAGAGGGAATTCCCTGGCCTGTTCGAGGGGCCAGGCAGGGGACATGGATGAGGTATGTGGGCTGAGGAGTAGGAAGCACAACCTCATCTAAGGGACAGCCGCTTCTGGGCCCAGCCAATTGTGGCCCTGCGGAAATGTGGGCCCAGGGTTGCCAGATCTGGTTTCTAAAGAGAAGCCGGAAATCTGGATTTTTATGTGAAATTTCCCACTTTTTAAAACAGCGTTTGGTCCAAACAAAACATATGTGCATGCCGAGTTGACCTCATGGCCACCAGCTCCAGGCTTTGGCCTTTTGGACTGGTCGTTAAAGACAAGAGCTTCAGGATCACATACCCTGGGTTCAAATCCCCCATCCCTCCCAACTGGCTGTGTGATCTTGGGCAAGTGAGCTCACCTCCCTGGGCCTGTTTCTTCGTCTGTCTGCCATCCCGTGTTTCGCGGCCGTGCAAGGATCCTGGGGTGCAGGCCCCTCTCAGATGCGGGATAAACGGTGGCAAGGGGGTGCTCTGTGTGGGTGTGTTGGGTGGGGTTCGGGGTGTTGGTGGCAGAAGGCTCTGGGAGGGCTGGAGATTTTTATTGCCCTCACATTCCTGTCCTGGCCTTACTCTGGCTCCTGAACGCTGGGGAGCCCGCGTGCAGGATCCTACACAGACCCGGACTCCAGGTCAGCCCTTCCCTCCCCATGAAAGAGGGGTCAGAGCCCTCTTTCCCCAACTCCCCAGGGGCCACTCAGGGCTCTCTGGGGCAGCGGGGGCCGCCAGCCGTCCTCACCAGCCCGGCTCCCCTCCTACCCCTTCTCCGCTGTGCAGGAGGGCCTGGGGACGCCTGGATTCCTGAGGGGATGTTTTCCACATTTCTGGAAACCCACTGCGGTTTGGTTTTCCGTGGTAAAGGGCTTGGCGGTGGCTCAGCTCAGTGCAGCGGCTGGTGGCTGGGAGGGGCCGGCGTCCAGGAGACGGTCACTGAGCACCCACTGTGCACTGGGCCCCTGGGATCCACAGATGCTTAGAGCAGTCCCGCGCGGTCCAAGAATTTCATTTTCTTGTTATGGTTACAGACTTGAAACATGAGACGTTAAAAACAGATCTTAAAACCGAAGTCCTTGCCACTCAAACCGGGAGCCTGCCTTCCCCTGGTCTACACCTCCTCCTCCTCCTGGCAGATGCCGGGTTCACCCCCCTCCATCCTCTGAATCTCCTGGGCCTGCTCGCTCCTCTCCACCTCGTTCCAAGGCCTTGCTGTGGGTCCCCATCCTCCCTGCCCCAGTCACCACGGCTGCCTCCTCTCCGGACTCCCTTCCCCACTCGGCCGCCGGAAAGGTCTTTCCGAAAGCCCGTGTGCACGTGGAGCTTCCCCGCCCAAGCCCCAGTGACCTCAAGATGGAGTTCGAACTCCCAACGTTGGGTCAGAGGCCTCGCAGGGTCTGCGCCCTGCTGCCCTCCGCGGCGTCACCTCTGCGCACTCCCCTGCGCCCCTGCGTCTCGGCGCGCATGCGCCATGCCAACCGCGGTGCGTTCGCTCTCCCCAGCCCTGGGCCTTTGCAGGCACAGCCGCGTCTTCCTAGCGCCCTCTCCCATCATCACGTTCCCCCGGCGAACTCCTACCTACTCTTCGGGTCTTTGCTTCAATGTCACTGCCTCCAGGAATTCCTCCCCGCCCGCCTCGCCTCCGGAAGCGTCTTTGTTCTGCGTCCCCAGTGCTTGGTTCCTGGTTGTGCCGGTGCCTCCAACGCTAGCGCTGCTGCTAATCCCAAGGCTAATCCCACCGCTAATCCCACCGCCAATCCCAACTCTAATCCCACCCTTATCCCAACGCTAATCTCAACTCTAATCCCACCGCTAATCCCACCGCCAATCCCAACTCTAATCCCAGCGCCAATCCCAACACCAATCCCAGCGCCAATCCCAGCGCCAATCCCAGCGCCAATCCCAACGCCAATCCCAGCGCCAATCCCAACGCCAATCCCAACGCCAATCCCACCGCCAATCCCACCGCCAATCCCACCGCTAATCCCACCGCTAACCCCAACTCTAATCCCACCGCCAATCCCACCGCTAATCCCAACTCTAATCCCAACTCTAATCTCACTGCCAATCCCACCTCTAATCCCAACGCTAATCCCAACGCTAATCCCACCTCTAATCCCAATGCTAATCCCAACGCTAATCCCAACTCTAATCCCAACGCTAATCCCACTGCTAATCCCAACTCTAATCCCAACGGTAATCCCACTGCTAATCCCAACGCTAGTCCCAACGCTAATCCCAATGCTAATCCCAACTCTAATCCCAACGGTAATCCCACTGCTAATCCCAACGCTAGTCCCAACTCTAATCCCAACGGTAATCCCACTGCTAATCCCAACGCTAGTCCCAACGCTAATCCCAATGCTAATCCCAACTCTAATCCCAACGGTAATCCCACTGCTAATCCCAATGCTAATCCCAACTCTAATCCCAACGCTAATCCCACTGCTAATCCCACTGCTAATCCCAACGCTAATCCCAACGCCAATCCCACCGCTAATGCCATACCAACAGCAAGCCCTTCTCTAGCGCTTGGTTTGTGCTCAGCCTCTCAGTGCCCTCGGAGGCAGACACTGCTATTGCCCGCCCTCGCAGGTGAGAAAACAGACGTAAGGAGAGAGAGGCGGACCCACATCCAA